AGGTGCTAGTGTCTAAGGGGTGGCGCTTGAAGGTGGGGAGTACATTTAAGCCATACTGAACTATAATTGAAGCTTAATAAGTATGGATTTTTAACAATTTTAAGCATAAAAACTGGATAGCTGGAATCACAGCTTTTACTGAAAAAAAATCTAGACTACCCAGCTGTTTCTCAATTTCCCTCTGTGGCCATGTCCTTTCTTACTGTGAAGCTAAAGCAGTGTTCAAAGCCAGGCCGGGGCCAAGGCCCAGTTTCAGCATGTTAAAAGGAAAACACGGATTTGAGGGCCCTGAGCAGCTACTTTCCCACAACCTGTAACGTCAGTGTGCTGCTAATGAAGTAGAACAGATGGGGCATTTCACGCTAGGCTGAGCTAAGAGCAAGGGACTGCTCATTTCTAGTTATCTGGGGGTGAATAATTTACCCTCCTGAACTTATCTGGAAACCCTCATCAGGGATGACATGAGCAGCCAAGTGGGTCAGAGAACACTTCTCTCAGGCACGCGAGGAAGACTTTTAACTTCCGCAGCTGTTGGGGACCCAACCCCACAAGGAAAGAAGAACCCTCACTACTAATCTAACCCCTTAACCAGGAAACAGGAGCACGTACCGTGGGCTTGGTCACGTCCTTGGGGAGATCGACGTGTAGGTTCGAACACTGCACCCACTCCCTGCAGGTGCTGCGACACGGGGGAGAGGAAACAAAGCCAGTGAGATAACAGCGCATGAGCGTGAGCCCGCCCCACGGTGAGCTCCGCACCCCGCACACTCACAGAAGAAAGCCGCCAGTGCTGGCCGGGTTGCTCCTCCGGCAGGCGGCAGGCAAGCTCCTCGGGCCCTTCAGAGGAAACAGAGACAGGGCAGGGGATGGGGGGACGGACACATGTTAAATGTGAAGAAAAAACCAAACTGCTTTAGTTTCCACTGAAAACCAAGCAGCCACATGGTGTGTCACATCAAAGGGTTCCGGATTCTTTCAGATGGGAGGCACTGCCTCAACCGCAACGGCCAGATTCGAGTATATTTAATAATAGGAAAGGACAAGAAGAGCCGATCATCAAAAAGCACCCCCAAAACACTACAGAGTCCGTGTCTTTGAAAGGTGAGCGACAAGGACTTCTCTCAAACAGGCAATTTCCAAACGACGAGAATCGCTCGCTCACACACTCACTGTCGTCGCGCGCATTCTGCCCCTGGCTCCGAATGAAACACGTGGCATCGAGGGTGCAACAAGCCTCACGCGTGACTTCAACTTTCCCCGGTTTTCTTACATGTTACACAGACTTCAGTGTCCTATTTGGCCTGAATGTTCTGATCAGTGAAAAGGATGTCATAAGCTAAGTTATTAGTTGGGCTCTTCCTCTGAAGCACGCGTTCACATTTCCCAGTACATGCACTGCGTGGCTTGATCGGGGCAACCGGGTCACAAATACATTCAAGCACACAGGGGACTCTGGCATTCCTTATGATGGACTGAACCACCAACTACAGCCAGTGCTTCTAAATCCTGTATGGCGGGTGCCCCCTGCTGGTACAACTTCAAGATCTGGCCAGTGCTGGCACTCAAAAACCAAACTCACAGCCAGGGAGTTAATTCTGACTCACAGTGACCCTACAGGGCACAAACTTTAACTGCTCCTTTGGGTTTCTGAGGCTGTCAATTTTAGGGGAGCAGAAAGCCTCATCTTTTCCTACAGAGAGGCTGGTGGATTTGAACTGTTGACCTTGTAATTAAAAATCCAAGCTGGCATCCATTATGCCCCCCCCAAAAAACACATCCAACTCGCAGGGACACTGCAGGCAGAGGAGAACTGCCCCTTAGGGTCTCCAAGTTGTAATTCCTTGTGGGAGCAGTCAGCCTTATCTTCCCACTGCTGACCGACAAGTTGGCAGCTCAACACATAGCCCACACCACCACCAGGGCTTCTGTGGTGCTACCCCCAACCCACTGCAGTCTAGTGGATTCCAGCTCACCTAGATCCGGTTTCCCAAGCTGTAAGCTTTATGGAAGCAGATGGCTTCCTCTTGCTCCTGAGGAGTGCTGGTGGGTTTGAATTGCCGACCTGCAGGAAGCAGTCCAATACGCTCGCTCAGCAGCAGCACAAGGCTCCATTATCTCCTAATACCATCTGCCACCAACTTTTGGAAGCCCCCTAGTGTAGGCCCTAGTGTAAGGTGACCAGAAGTTCCGCTTTTGGCGGGACAGTCCCGATTTGTAACAATTTTTCCTGCATCCCGTGGCGTTTTTAAAAAGTCCCAATTTTTGGAAAGAATGCACGACAAGCTAGGATATACAGTTTTCGGCTGCCATGTGGCTATTTCGCCAGGATATGAGTTTTATCAATGGTGTCCCGCTTTACCAATAATGTTAAAATCTGGTCATCACCTTACCGTAGTGGCACAGTGGTTAAAGCCCTCAGATGCTAACCAAATGGCTGGCAGTTTGAACCTTCCAAACTTGGGGGTGGTGGTGGTGGCAGGGAGACAGGGAGAGAAAGATGTGACAGTCTATTTCCATCGATTTACAGCCTCAGAAACCCTCTGGGGCAGTTCTATTCTGAGCTATCAGGTGGCTCTGGGTTGGAAATGACTTGCTGGTGGTGGAATGGTTTGGTGTAGATAACATTTAGTTTATCATCTAAACCTGCTTTTCCTTTAGGCTTTCTTGAGATGAAAAAAGTCTAACTGGAGAAAGTAGAAGCAAAGGATGCTGGCATACGTGGTCGAGCAAGAATGCCAAGCAACCCACAGACAGCATCCCACAGCCCCCCAGCTCTCCCACACGGAGATCTTTCACGGGTCTTCTCGACTGTGGAGCCGGTGTAAAGTTCAAGCCACCTCTGGGTGAGCAACTACCTAACTACTGAGTGGCCAGAGCACCTTAGAAGCTCAATAAACCAAACCCAACTCGCTGCTCATAGGGACGTCGCCCACCCCCACCGCGGTGGGTTTTCGAGATGGGAACTGCTTACAGTTGTGTAGAAAGCCCATCTTTCTACCTCCCAGCTGCTGGTGGTTTTGAATTGCCAACCACTCAGATTGCAGTCCAGCCCGGGCTCTACCTCTCTACCCACGATGGAGGCAAATTTATGATTTCCATACTCTCCTTTGGATCTAAGGGGGGGGGGCAGGCACAATGCATTGAGATCTGTCATTCTTCACAAGCATACAGAAAATTCCTTCCTGACACTTGTGCCACGACCCCACCAAGCAGTCATGCCAAGGATGACCTCCCTCCCTCCCCATCACGCTCTCCCAGTATAAACCTCTGCATGTCAAAGTTGCAATCGACAGTGAAGCGCTATTACATCGGCTCATCAGCCTTACAGAAGATTTTGTTTGTTTTCAATTGTGGTAAATGCAAATGTCTTCAAAGGTTCACAAGGGGGGGGGGATCCCATTACATTTTAATTCCACAGTCTCACACTTTAATTCCACAGTCCCCCTTTCTATAACAAGACCATTTCAACCTTCTTCATAGGTACAATTCAGTGAGTGGCACTTAAAGTTGCCCCTTTTTCTTTCGTTCAAGGGGGAAGGTGGGGACGCAGAGGGATGGTGGTCTGGGTCTCTGATTTAGTTCAAACACTTCAATCCTTCTGTGTTTTCTTAACTAAGGCCTGAGGACCACTGAGGTCTCCCTGAGGGCTTTCATCAGGGGGCTCGGGGTAGCAAAGCTATTTTCATAATTACACTAAGACGTTATCTGGAGCTTGCCCACTCTGGGGAGGGCAGGCTGCTATTTTTGAGAGGTCGAATGACTGTCCCACAGGAAGTTTGAATGCATATCCAGCTGTCTTTTATTGAAGAGATCTGCAAAGAGTGTTTTTTAAAAAAAGGTAAAATACTGCCTGCCCTTCTCCTCAATGTGTTTTTAAGAACCGACAGTTATTTTCCATAAGCAATGTGAATAATAACATGCAATGGGTTTATTAACACTGCTTTTAGATGATATAAGCATTAATGCCCCTCCCCCCGTTTTCTTAATATGGTTTAAAAAAAAGATGATGGAGGGGGGTACCATGGAATCTTATTTTTTGAGTGCAAAGGGGTCCCGCGGCCCGAAGGCTTGCGCACCGCGTTTGCGATCGTGCAATCCTTCCGAAGAGCGCACCCCCAGGCGACGTCTGCACCCCGCGATCACGCGCACTCCCGTCCACACCCACGACAGATTCTCGGCGGGACCCCGGAAGGGTCGGCAGTCGTGCGCCTGCGGCGCAAGCGTCCGGGCGTTTCTCGCAAGCGCGAAAGAGGGGGCTCGTGGGGTCTAAGAGGCTCCGATCCGCGCTCTTCCCGGGCCGGCCGGCCGGCCTTTCCTCCTCGGCTCTCGGGAGGACGCGGGGCCTCGCACCAGCCTCTCCCGCCTCCGCCTCGTAGGCGCGGAGGCCCGAGAGGTTTCGGGACCACCGCCCCCGACGGTGGCCCGGCAGCCCCCCAGCGCCCAGTACCTGCCAAAGGCGCCGACACACGAGCCCCAGAGCTGCTTGCGCCGCCATTTTGCCGCCCGCTCTCCAAGATCACTACCGGGGTTTCTCTGGGTCACTTCCGGGGTCATGGCCGCGTCCTCAGACCATAGAGTTGAGCAGCGACCATAGAGACGGGAGGCTGTGCCTGAGATTGAGAATACCGGGCGCTTCCTGGGAGCTAACAGCCTGGCCGACCTGATCCTGAATAATGGTGTTCTTTTATCTTTTTTTTTAAAGATCATTTTATTGGGGGCTCTTACAGCTCTTATGACAATCAATAAGCGTTCTAATGCATATTTATATAGCTGCCAAGTGCAGTCGATGTTTTTCCTTTGCAAATTGTGTCTGTCCTATGTGGTTCCTGTTTCGTTGCATACAAACAAAACACCTTTTTGGAAAAGCAATGACATTAATATAGTGACTGTGGTGATAGGTTGATTTATTTGCAAATTCCTATATTTTCAGAAATTAAAAATATATAATGATTAAAAGAAAAACAGGTTTACCCTTCCCACTGGTTCAGAACCAGGTGGTGGAGTGGACTATCCCATGAGTTGGTCAGTCAGCTTAATGGTCCGCAGGTGGAATCCACTAGTTCCTCTCACGGAGAAAGACAAAACTGTCTTTCCGGTAGAGTTCAAGCTTTGGCAACCCTAAGGAGAAGGTCTGCTCTATCCTATTGGGTTGCTTGAGTCAGAGTTGAATCTATAGTAGTGGATACCATCAAGTCTGGGAGTTCCTGGGTGCTGAAAATGGTGAAGTGTTGGACTACTAGCTCCTAAAGGTGCCCTGGATGTCTATTTGAGTTTCAACTTCTGAGCATTTAGTTGACAGGGGAAGTCCTAGAGCCATTTTCGAGTCTCCGCTTAAATTCAACCCGACCTTTAACCAGCAACGCCTATTGCTTTACCTTCAGACAGAGTTCATTAGAAGTGGGCTACTGCCCCTCCTTAGCCAGTCTAGGGGAATGGGGGAGTTTGTCCTGAAGGCCTTGGCTAGAGAGCCCTGGACCAATCTTGTAAACTTTTCTGTTCAACATAATGTACGTGTCCCAGTCATGGCCCGCCTCTGTGTTGTATTGATCTGCTACCGGTCATGCTTTCCTGTCAATGACCTTTGCTAAGTCTCCAGTTCTCTGTAAACCCGTGGACTCAGCTATGACCTCGTGCTAATGGTCTGCCTCATCCGGATGATGTGTCTCTGTCTTGTATTTTCCTGTTTGAGACTTCGTAAATATTCTCCTTAAATTTTATTTAAGATTTGGGGTCTATTTTGAACCCTAAAATAGATGACAGGCCTGATTAATCAGCTTTTGGTAAGCCACAGCTTTGAAAACCCTAGAGCACAGTTCTACTCTACATACACGGGGATGTCATGAAACAGAATCAATTATAACATGTCATGAATGTTAGGCAGCTAACAACAGACCATTGAGTACCTGCCCCATCCCTGTATCTCATTGCAATAGCCTTCTATCTTACTTAACCTCATTAATTGATTCTCTTGCACTCCAACTATCCTGCACACCCCCATCCTAATTATCTTCTGAAGTCATCCATTTCACTGCTACTTTAGTATCCATAATTTGCAGTGGCTGACTTGACCTTTTACAGGCACAAAGTGTTTTTGCCTTGCTCTTTTTGTCCACAACTGAGCTTCAACTAAATAAGCTTATAGCCAGAACTTGCTGTGACAAAAATGTCTTCCATTTGTGCAACTTTCTAAGCTTTGTTTTCCTAAAGTGCTTTCCCATATACGATTTGCCATAATAGAACAATCTAGATGAATAACGATCACTAATCAATTTAATCTAACTTACTATAACCATTGCTTGAATGCAAACAGATTCGAGAAACTGATTGGTCTCGTCTTCCTGGGCCAAGCCATGTCATGTCAAGGTAAGTCTATCTATAGGTTTGGGGTCAGATGCCAACATTGGTCCAGTTATCTGGAAGATGAATGGGCTGTGTGAACTAAACGAGGCTTTGTCTACAGTGGGGCTGTGGACGGGATTCTTTGGTGTGGCATGTAGACTTGGAGAATGTTTTGAAAGTTGGCCTGTCATGACCTCTTCCCTGCCTCTTAAACTTTCAAACCTCTATGGAACTATAAATGAGCAAGAGGCCAAGGATTCAAAATCGTTCAGGCGAGTGCACTTGACTTTTATGTTCAGGGAAAACAAAATTGTGTACCTCACACAGAAACGTGTACACCAACAGCTCTTGCAGCCCTATTCGCAACAGTCACAATACGGGAACAAGGGAGGGTTCATCCGCAGATGAAGGGATGAACCAAATGTGGCTGATGTAGACCGTGGAATATTACACAGCCATAGAGCAGTTGAGTTCTGATGTTAAAACACCACAGCATGAACACATCTTGAAAATGCTGTTGTTGTTGTTGTTGTTGTTAGCGCCTCTTACTGTGATCCTTTCCAAAGTTGTAGGCAGTGGGGGGCTAGGCACCATCCAGTTTTTCTGGTTTCAAGGTCATGGAAGCTGGCGTCCACATGGTTCATTAGTCCGTTGGAGATTTCCCATGGTTTTTTGGTTTGGTTTTTTTTTTCTTTCACTCTTCTCTGAACAGGGAGAGATCTTGGCTCTTCACAAGCTTCACCCAGTTCAATCTATAACACTTAATAGGCATGGTCCAATTCATTAATATGCTTCTTCATGATGACATTGTGCTTATGTCAATATTAAAACTCATCTACATTCCTAGAGCGCATCTCAGCCGGCTAGTGGGGGCAATCAGAGCTGACCTTGGGTAAGTTCTAGATAAAGCAAGTTATTTGCAAACACACGAGTGCTCGCGCACACAGTATCTGGTGGGTTAGAAAGGTCAGCAACAAAGAGTTGCTGAGCACCTGCTGTCTCTTTCTGTGTGCATTTGGGCGGTGGTGAGGGGATTCAGAATATTAGTAAGGCATGCCCTTAGCTCTTCTAACCATGGACTTGGATCAGGCCCTCATGTGCGCTTTCTAGGTATTAAGTTCCTTGACAAGAAAGCAGCGTGCCAAAGCCGTCTCTGCCCATGCGGGACACCGCGTGTGGGAGTTCCTGGTACACCGCGACTCTGGAGTAACAAATGAATGGCTGTGATAGGTGGGTGTCTTTGGATTGACCGTCTGGGTCCCTGGAAGCAGAGGGCAATGCACGTGGCTCTCAGCTGCATTGCTGCATGCAGGGCTATCGAGATTGATGGTTAGAAACTCCAAAAGGACCCGAGTGTGGATCAGATAGGCCCTAATCGAAAGCAACTTTTTTTCCTTTCCTCCTTTTTAAAAAAAAAATCATTTTATTGGGGGCTCGTACAACTCTTAGCACAATCCATCCACCCCTCCATCATGTCAGCACATGTGTACATTTGTTGCCATCCTCATTCTCAAAACATTTTCTTTCTACTTCAGCCTTTGGTATCGGCTCATTTCCCCCCCTCCCTCCCTGAAAGCAACTTCTTAATAACATTCAGGGGCTTGGTTTTAAACCCAAAATATGGATTTGGAATGCCTGTGAAGCAGGGTGGGCCGGGATGCCGGGGAAGGGACGGTGTCCTGTGTGTGTGTGTCGGTGTGGAGCTGGACTCCACAAGGCTTTCGGTGGTGGACTTTTCCCATCACCGGGGCATTCTTCCGAGGCTCTTCTGGGTGGATTCCAACCTCTAACCTTTCCATTGGCAGAGGAGAAAATTAACTGTGCTGCCAAGGGACTCCATGTAATACTGAGTGCCGCCCTCACCCCCAAATTACAGGTTGAGCAGTACCCTTTGATGTTGTCACATGCCAGTGAGTTAATTCTGACTCATAATGGCCCTAGAGCCCACGCAGAACTTCCTCACAGGGTTTCCGAGGCCCAGGTGGAAAGGGCTTTCTTGGCCAGCGCTGTGGGATGGTTTGGAACTACCTACCCTTTGGCTAGCAGCTGAGCACTTAACCACTGAGCTACCAGGGATCCTCTCGAAAGTCTCTGGGGCAGTTCTACTGTGACACGGCGTCAGTGGGAGTCAGGAGCGATTCAACTACACCACGTTGGGTCTTTACCCAAGAGAAGATCACCAGGTGGTTCCCTGGCAGAGTGGCTGGTGGGTGTGAACCGCCGACCTGGAGGTTATCAGCTGCCGCTCACCCAACTTCACCAGCGTCGTCAGCGGCTCCCCCACAGCTGAAGTCCCAGAAATGCTTGTCCAGCCTCCAGTGTGGGCAGGCCTTTTGGTGAGCAGGCAGGCTGATGGACAGAACACCAGACAGGTCACAGCAGCCAACTTAATGGTTGATTAGCATTTAAGAAGCCTGGAGAAGTCACTTCCGTGGCTAGAAAGAAGGAATATTTAAGCCAAAGGAAACTCAAAAAGGTAATATTTTATTTTCAGAGCAGCTGATGCAATGGGGAATCAGGTTTTCACAACTAAATATGACAGCATCTATTCCGTTACATCTCTGTGTGACCGATGTTTATCTACAGGAACTGAAATATCTGAGGAGGATTAACAAGCAGAATCTTCCAGCTGAATCCTCGTGGTTCTCTTTCAAGGAAAAAAGTATCATTCGTGGATTTTTAAAAAAGCTTTTTACTCGGGGAGGGGGGTTGGGAGCCAACCTAGAATGCCCCAGTGTTTTTTTTTAAAGGAACACACCCTTTTTAGGACAAGTCTATAAAATATCTTTATTTGTTACATATGATGCTTAAATATAACTTTTCTTTCAAGCTTCAAACTCTTTTTTTTAACTCCCTGGTAAAATAAGACCTTTTGATTCATCTTAACAAAAACTGAGCTAGGAAGAAACATTTTTAGCAAAATGTTATTATAAAAGTCACTAGAAAATATGGTATTTTTTTTGCTTTTGTTTGGGGCCAACATGTTACATAAAATCCGTTTTAAAAATACACAACGTTACAAAAGAAAAATCACAACTATGCTATACATAGTGCTCTTGAGATGAACCAAGGGACCTGCATTCTGGGAAAATACGTTAAGTACACTGGCTATTAGGGTGCCAACCTATGATAGTGCACGCGGGAATAAGTTACATCCTGCCAATGGGAAGGCATGCCGGTCAGCTGAGGACAGAACACAACAAAAGCCACCATAGGAAGCAACCACAAACCACTCTTTAAAAATGTTTTCATTTTTATTACATTAGGTTTTTTTTTCAAAAATACTTTTCTTTACAATAGAACTCCTAGAAAATATTTACACCCTTCCTCTAATAAAATAGAACAGCAGTTAAATATATTTGAAAATAAGATGGGCTTTTTTTCTCCATAAAATATAGGTTAACTTTTTATATACAAGCTTTCTCAAAGAGGTCTACATCATCCACTAAATGAGAAACCATTGGACAGTAAACAGTAAATGTGGTGGCATGAACCATCAGAGGAACGTTCTTTGGGGTGGGGTGTGGCAGTGGGGGAGGAAGCAGAAACACAACACACACATGCAGGCAGACTCATTTCAGGAGAAAGAAAAAGTGCAATATTCTGCTATGGAGTCAACCCTTGGAAAGTTGATACTGTCAGGAGACACTCATTCCGAGGCTGGAACTGTCCCATTGAGAGTTCTTTGGTTACTGCGAATCAGAGCATCCTTACGCTGTACTGCACAGAAAACGCAACCGAGATGGTGCATCTTATTTTTGACCTTGGCAATGCGGGTTTTGTTTGTTTGCTTAGAACCAGAATGCAGCTGGGCAAGTCTCCGCAGAGAGGAGAATGCATTTGTTTTAGAAACATTTTGTTGGGGGTTTGCTCCCTTGATAGATAAGTTCCATAGACCCAGGGGCAGAACCATCCCGGACAGCAGTGGAGGGGGGTGGGGGGTGGCTTCCTGGGCTGGGCCGACTCCCATCCAATCATGGCTCTACGACAGCTGGACCAGCTCTTGTGGTTCTGCGCTGGCTGGTATCTATCCACTGTCAAGGCAAAGGCTCAAAACCACTGAGATAACATGTTATCTCATAAACTGAAAACTTTTTTTTCTCCCCTAAAGAAAGGATGAGGGAACCCCCCAAAAAACTCCTTTTCTGAAAACAGAACGATGGAAATGAAAAGAATCTTTGCATTGTCCTCTGTCCAAGGCTTTCCTGAGATCGGGGAGCTCCACCGGCTCAGGGCCGCTGTGGACCACAGCTGGCTTCTGGGTGAGGTGTGCTAATGCATTTGCAAAGTCAAACTTGAAAGAAAGATGTTCAGGCCCTACCCTGGGGCTTCTGCTGATACATGCGCTCACCCACATCAAGCCGTTAACCTGCCAGCCCAGTGGCCCAGCAGGGTCCCCAGAAGGGGGAACAAGTCTGAAGACACCTGCCCCAGAGGTCACGGCACTAACAAGTGCTGAGGAAAGAGGCAGGGTCTTTCCTGCAGCTGTGGGGCGTGGGCCCTGACAGTGGGCTAGATCCCTCTGACTCAGACAGACGCCTAGGCTGACTGCCATGTTTGAAGGATTACAGGTTTATCACCTTCAAGTACAAACAGCAGCCCTGCTGAGAGGGGCAGGAAGAGGCAAAGGGACGAACCTGGGAGAATTCTAGAAGTGCTTTGGTAAATGACAGTGCCATGAAGACATTCCTTGTTTGCATGCACACACCAGGTAAGCTAAAGTGGTCTCTGGAACCATTTTAGCTGGCTGTGGGCGCTAGTCCCCTTTAGTTTGTGATCCCTTTGTGAGGACCCCGCCCCCCTCTTTTTATCGCCCTCATAGTATCAAGGGCAAGCACCCCAGCCTTTGTGAACCCCCATCAAAATCCCAGTGAAGAAGGTTATCACAGTACTGCCATGTGGCACAGTGTAAGCTCGGAACTCCACTGACTATTAACAGTGTTGCAAAACTAAGGAGAAACCGAAGAGACCCTCGGGAGCTTGTCTTTGGGCATCGCAGGAGGCCCTTTACTGGGCAGCTCTGTCATCCCCGCTCGCTGGAGACCAAAAAGCATCCTCTACAGCCTGGACCCGTTGGGGATACTTCACTCAGAGAGGGTCTCCAGGCAGTTCTCCAAACAGAGCTCCGGCAGCTCAAGCTTCAGAGCTGACCACAGGACACTGTGACCATGTGGTCAGGGGGAGAGGCCACGCCTGCCCTGCAGAGCAGGTCCTGGGCAAGTCACTGCGAGGCGTGCTCAGTTCCTGCTAAGAGGTTGTCAGGGACAGGCCGGGTAGAGTGAACACCGAGTCTCCTGTTTGGTCACCTCTTCAAAGGATGCATGTGGCTAGTGGAATGCTAGTGGAATGGCCACATAGTGCATGTGGCCGAGGGGCTTGCTCTGCCCACTGGAAGGCTACTCTCAGGCACTGACTCCTGGGAGAGACACCAGGCTCATAGCAAGTTGCAGATGAGGTCAGAACTGAACTCTAACACCACTGGGAGGAAAGGGCTGGCCCATGAAGCCCCCTGCCCCCACCCCCGAGCAGAAGGGGCAGCCTGCTTCACACGTGCACACACGCCGTGGACACACTCGAGCCACAACACGCTTTCGGATGCAAGGCCCCCAGGAGGGCGGACGTCTGAAAGAAAAAGGGACATGCACCCCAGGTTCATCACCTGCCAGGAAGGATGGCAGGAGGGTGGAGCCCCGATGAAACACCTCTTAAAGATATTTGTGCCAATTATTTATTCTCTCCACCCACCACCCCAATCAAACAAAAAAAAAAAATTTTTTTTTTAAATAAAAAATGAACCCTTTTTTTCCCCTCTTCTTCTTTCTCCTTAAATCCGAATAAAACGGCCACTTTTTCTTTTAACAGGTAGTTTAAAATGGTTACAAAAGCAAGCAGGCGGCCCGGGTGTCCTGATGAACGAGGCGGAGGCCACTGTCCCCTTAGAGTTCGGTGTCCCCCTGCAGCAGAACGGAATCTGGCTCGTCCAAGAGGAGATGGGGGTCCACGCCGCCATCGAGGACGTCCGCGGCCTTGATGGGCTTGCTCAGGCCCAGCGGGTCCAGGGGCAGCAGCGCCGGGCCCCCCACCGGCCCCGTAGTCCTCTCGATGGTGGCCGCCATCTCAGCCGCGAAGGCCGCTTTCTGGGCCTTCTGCCTCTGCTGCTCCTGCTGCTGCCGGTGCGTCTTCATATGCGCGTTTCGGCTTTTGACCTTGAAGAAGACCCTGCAAACCACCACAACAGAAGGGCTTGAGATGGCAGGGGGTGGGGGGCAACCCTCGGGAGTTAGCGTGTCTTCACACGGACACAGCTTGCCGCCGCCGCCGGGGTGGGGGTGCCTCTGCCAGCGCCCTTGCTCCTCAGCTCTGAGGGGCTCCGCCCTCTGCGACCTCTCCCCCACCCCGCTCTCCTCTCTCCAAAACCACACCAGACTCGGTGCCATCGAGTTGATTCCGACTCACAGTAGCCCTACAGGGCTGTCCCTGCGGGTTGCCGTGACCGTAACTCTTACGGGACTCGAAAGCCTCATCTGTCTCTGGAGCAGCAGCGGTGGTTTGGAACTGCTGGAGGTGGGCCCAGCTGCCTCCCTGATGCCATGCAGGATGGCGTCTCCAGGCCATCCTATCCTCTGTGGCCCAGAGCATGCCCTTCCTCCGCCTCAGCTTCTCCGGTCCTGGTCACCATGGCTACACACCATCATGATGAAGGGGACCGGATTGTAACATTGGTAAAGCAGGACAAAAGCGGGACACCATTGATAAAACTCATATCCTGGCGAAATAGCCACATGGCAGCCGAAAACTGTATACCCTAGCTTGTGCATTTCCCCCCAAAATCGGGACTTTTTAAAAACGCCACAGGATGTGGGACAAATTGTTAAAAATCGGGACTGTCCCACCAAAAGCGGGACGTCTGGTCACCTTAATCATGACACCCTCTTGACCAGAGACTCCCCTGGTCAGGCCAACCAGCTCTGACAGCCCCAGCTTCTGCCCCTGCCTCTGCAACAGACAAGGGCCGGCCCGCCGGCCTGCACACACTGAGGATGGCCCTGTCTCCGACTGAGGTCCCTTCCACTCCTATACGATTGGTCGGTGACACACCGATCCAATGGGCTCCTGTCTCGATCTCCACCGCACTGGGCGTCCCAGCTGCATCCGCCTCAGCGGACTGCTTCTCTTTTGCGGCGGAGCCGCCTCCTTGCTCGCCATTCCGTTGTCCTCCCTCCCGGTTTGCTTCAGACTAAAAGAACTAGCCTCAAGTGACGGGGGCGGGGTTTGCCCTCCAGGGGGCGTTCAGCAATGGCTGGAGGCTGTTTCAATGGTCACAATTTGGGGAAGGGATGCTGCTAAACACACGATGAACCCCCAGGGCAGCTCCTCCCTACAGGAAGAGCGATCTGGCCCAACGATTCAGATGGTTGAGGATGTAGCTGAAGCTGGGATCTAAGACATCCCATGGGGGGACTCATTCTCTCGACCTGCGGTCCGCACAAGATGGCAAATCCGGTCAGCTTTAGGGGAACCTGTCACATCTACTCATCTGCATCTTGTCCTCGGCTGCTCCTGTGCTAGCGTGGCAGAGCTGAGTCCTGGAGACAGAGGCAGCCTGGCTTGCAAAGCCTAACACATTTACTATCTGGATCCTTTTCAGAAAAAAAGTTTGCCCACACGTGGGACCGTCTGCTTCTGGGGAGGGGGTGTTGTAAATACTTGACATTTATTCCTGAGCCCATACAAGAAGGCAAGTCATGCTGCTTTCTAAGCCCGAGCCCAATGGAGCTGGTGAGTCACAATTTGACTTGGGCACACTGAAACGGTCTCATGTAACAGACAGAACCGCGGGAGGTAAAAGAGGCCTGTTGTGAACATTTGTCTGATGCTATTTCTAGTCTGGCAAACCACAGAAAAGATGTCTACTTTCCATAAAATCTTCACCGGCATAAGAGTGGAAAAATGGCATACCATCAAGGGCCTGTTCAATCTATGCCTCTGACCGGCAGCCAGAGACTCTGAGCTGAAGTCTAGGTTTGCTGGAATGTCCTCTGTCGTCTCCACCTGGGGGAGTACCAGGTTGTAGCCCGTTGGAGCTCCTCTGCAGACCCCAGTGCCCCTGAACTTCAACCCCAGGACACACAGGGTGGGAGTCAACCAAACGTCAGCTGGGGGGGAGGGGTTCATTAGTATTTCCAGGCAATAGCCCCAGTCATCAGGAGCCCTGCTGGCGAAGTGGGTTAACTGCAAAGTCAGCAGTTCCAAACCACGCCCTGCTCCTCAGGAAGGAGAGGAGGCTTTCTACTCCGGCAAAGCGTGGCAGTCTTGGAAACCCACAGGAGCCGTCCAACACCGTCCTTCCGAGAGGAGACTGCGAGTGGATGGGTTGTGAGTCTCTGGAGACCCAGCCATCAGTTAGCATGCGGTGGCAGGGAGAGGATGCGGTGTCCGGCGCTGGACGACATCGGGGCACAGAGGAAGGGACAGGCACTTGAACCCATTTCCTCATTCTCATGTGTCAAGGAGGGTAAGAGAACTCCACGGACAACATGACAAGTCGCAGGTTCCGAGTCCCGTTCGCAGATGCCCCAGCAGAACTGGGCTCACTCCGAGGCTGTGGGGACTTGGGGCCAGCCTGTGTGTCTTCATTGGAAGCATTTATTTTGGCTGCATTTGTACTGACCCTGTTTTGAAGGTGTCTCGGTGGCACTGGGGGCTAAGTGTTGGGTTACTAACAGAAAGCTCAGCAGTTTGAGTCCAGCTCCGGGGAGAGACAAGGCAGTTGGCTTCTGTCCAGAGTCAGAGGCTGAGATTCTAGAGCAGTGGTTCTCAACCTACGGGTCGCGACCCCTTTGGGGGGTCGAATAACCCTTTGACAGGGGTCGCCTAAGACCACCAGAAAACACATAAATATTTCACAATATATAATGACATATTGTTTTTGTGATTCATCACGATGCTTTAAATGATGTTCAATTTGTCACAATGAAAATACATCGTGCCTATCAGGTACTTACATGACGATTCATAGCAGTAGCAAAATGACAGTGATGAAGCAGCAATGACAATAGTGTGATGGTTGGGGGTCCCCGCCCCATGAGGACCTGTATGAAAGGGTCTCGGCAGGAGGAGGGTTGAGAACCGCTGGTCTAGAGGGAAGCTCTGCTTGGACTGCTCTGACGGATGGGGTTGCTCAGATCCGGAAGGACGTGACTGCAGCAGGAGGGTGATGACGATGGATCCTGTTTGAAGTCCATCACATCCTCCCACAACCTCAAGAGGCAGGTACGACTACTGCCCCATTTGACAGACGAGGAAAATGGAGCCACCTGTCCTGCGGGTGGAACCGGGCTGTCAACTGCAGACACGAGGACTCCTGAGATTAGCGTCTGTCCTACACAGCCTGTGGGGGGTGATTCCCGATTCAGCCACTCTTGCTTCACACCTTCGCGAGCGGTTTAACTTTTTGATGCCTCATTGTCCCCACTTATAAACCAGAAGCTGCTAATAATACCTATCACAAGATTGTTACAGAAACAGACTAAAGGTTAAGCTGATCAATGTCTGCAGACATCCTTGGAAACAATGCCGGGTATGTAATGAATAGCCAGTCAATAAATGGCAGCGACCACGAAGTTGTCTGGAGTAATCTATACTCTCGCTAACGAGGGCTTGCTTCCTGGGCAGAATTCCTGCGCTCCCGGGCAGGCAGGCCCCATGTCTGTTCACATGGAAGGCATCCAAGATGCGAGGAAGAGAAACTCGCTGGGCGCATACAGGATGGCGCCCGCCGACACAAGGCCGTACTTCTCCGAGTCTGGCAGGCGCACTGCAGCGGAAACTGGGGTTGCTTCCTGCATGTGCTGGGCGGAGGGGAGGGGGCCTACACATCTTAGCACCAATGGGCTCACCTTTGCCATTCGGGAAGTTTTATTTTCTGCCTACAGTACATGAAGAAGCCAGAGGGTGCGTTCAGACAAAAACCTCCATGCGACTCTTTACTGGCTGGGTGACTCGGGGCAAGTCGCTTTACCCAATTTCCGATGTCCTCATCAAACACAGGCCTGGCACCATGTGGCTTTGCTGTGTGAGGATGGCATGGTTGGTGTATGCGCATAAAGCATGCAATGGAATAAGCACTGAAGACACGATAGCTGGTCTTCAGCCAGGAGCCCCGCTGGCACAGTGGTTATTCGCGTGGGCTGCCAGCTGCAAGGTCAGCGACTGGCAACCACTGGTCTCTCCTTGGGGGAAGACAAGGCTTTCTACTCCCGCAAAGAGCTAGCGTCTCTCCACGGAGGCGGTTCCACCCTGTCCCACCGGGTCTCTGAGTCAGCAGCCACTCGACGGTAGCGAGCTTGGTTCTTTGGGGTTTTATTCCTCCATAGGCTCTCAGAAGCTTGTGAGCAGCCGGCTAAGGTGCAACTAGCTACTCCTCCCGGGGAAGGAAGACTGGGAAATGAAGAGGCCTCTGGAGCAATTAGTCCAATGGACTCGAGGACCACGCCCATCGGTGTCCACAGCCCTGAGATGACGAGAACTAGATGATACCTGGTGGTGCAGTGGTTATGCAGGGGGCTGCGATCTGCAGGGTCGGCAGTTCAAAACCACCAGCAGCCCCTCGGGAGAAAAACTGGCCTTTCTACTCCTGTCCCCAGGTACCGTCTCGGAAACCCATCACGGGCTGCTGGGTGTCAGCCTGGACTCGATGGCCATGAGATGGTACCTGCTGCCGCTAGCACCTGTTCTGAAAAGCATCGCGGTAGGAAGTCTGGACTGAGTGGAAAGTACGTCATCAAAGAGACCAGGCTACCAGTCAGACAGAGACTGTGGGCCTTACTGTGCAGATCTGGAGTTGAACCCACCTCTGTGTGAGAATCACCCACCATTTAAGATCTAAAGGGCAGCATTTGCCCAGGGACACAGGAAAGAGGGAGGCGGGAGACAGGAAGCATGGGGAGGACGTGGGAGGAGGGAAGAAGCCTTTACGGGGATGCACTCAGAATGCCTAAGAACTGTTGAATGTGAGCCTCTTCAGCCAATTCAGAATAAAAAGCTAAAAAAAAAAAAAGTTAGGGATTCTGATGACTGCCTATGGCCAGGTTCTTGCCCTCCTCAGTCGTTGATTTCAGTGATGCGGGAAGAGATGACAAATGGCTCTTGTCTCCTGCACCAACCTGGATCAATTAGCTTTGCTGGAATGAGAGGGACTCTGAGGGCCTGTTGGGAGGTGGCGGCCGAGAGCACGCGTTTGATCAGTGATGCCTGGGCACAGGAGTGGGCACGGGTGGGTGTTCGGGGGATGCAACGAGGGTGACACCAGCGAATAGGGATAGCATTTGAAGGGTGGAAGTAAGGATCACAGTCCCACCTCCCGTTTCTGGGAAAGAAGACACGAGAGGGTCGCTCTCTGAAAAAGCCCCTAACCAGCTATAAGACATCAGAAAGACCCTAGTCTGAGTCAGAGCCCAGGTCCGCCCACCCCAAGGCACCCAGAGCCTCGAGGGTGGGGAGTCTGAGCGAAAGTCCTGAGGATCTGGGTGCCTTCCCTGGCTGGAGGAACCTTGGACCATCTCAGTCACAATCTTAGACTCTGCCCCAGGTGCCCTGTCACCTACTTGCCACACTCCTTGCAGGGGAAGATGGTGGTGGGGTCCGTCTCCCCGCTGGTGGTGCTGTGGCAGGGCGAGCTCTTCACCGAGCAGTACCCGCTCTGGGCACCGCCAGGCTTCTGCTTCCCAGAGGGGGTGGTGCCCCGGGCCTTGGCCACCTGGTTGGTGCCCCCGTGGATGCGGGCGTGGCCGTTGAGTGCCTGCCGGGAGCTGAACACCTGGGGAAGAAAGGGAGTGACATGACATCTACAGTCCTGAAAAGGAAACGAGGGTTATTAGTATCTCCGCGGTGACACACGGGAGCCTCAAGACAGCCTACAGTGAAAGGGCGCGGGGTTTCAAACAAGCTAGCCATGTTGGGCACCGTGTCACAGACGGCAGAGACCAGCTGCCACCATCCCAAATGCTGTGCCGGAAAAGCAACAGCAACAACCCGTCACTGCTAAACCAGAAGATGGACGAGGTGGCCCGGTGCAGGGGACAAAACGCCCACCTCAAAGTCAGGGGACCAGCTCTGCCACAAATACCAGGGAGGCCAGTAAACCATTTCTTTTCTCCCTCTCCACTTTATCACCTGCCAAATGAAGGCGCTGGGCCTGCCTCCAACTTTCTACAGCTGAGAATGAGCCCCCAGCTTTCTTTCCTCCCTTACCCTTCAACCAATCAAGATCGATCCTAAAGCCCAATGCGTAAACTGGTTCAAAACTGGTTGTATGGAGACAACACCCCATAATGAGGTTTGTTCTGACGTTTCCAGGAAGCCAGAGACACCCCTGAGCTCTGCTCTGACATGCAAGGGGGTATCCTGAAAAAAACGGGATTTATTTTGGAGGGGGGGAAAGCTATGTATTTAAATTGTTTTACAAAACAATGCTATCACCTTCAAAAGACTCTCCATTACACTTAATACATTTGTCAAATCTGCGATTCCATTCTTGGAAACATTTTTCAAACTCATCTGTTTGGATGGCTGACAGCACCTCTCACGTTTTTTTCTTCACCTCTTCTACGTCGTCAAATCTCTGTCCTTTCATGTCCCTCTTCATGTGAGACCAAAAAGCAGTCACACGGAATGAGGTCAGGTGAGTAAGGCATGTGGGGCAAGAGAGGCATGCTGGTTTTTTTGCCAAAAACGGGCACACTGAGATGGCTGTGTGAGCAGGTCATTGTCATAGTGGCAAAACCAGTCCTGTCTGCCACAAATCTGGCCTTTTTTTGTCGCACACTGTTATGCAATCTTTTCAGAACCTCTAAATAGAAAGATTGATTAACAGTCTGACTTGGAACGAACTCCAAATGCACTATCCCCTTCACATTAAAAAAAAAGAGAAAAACAAATAAGCATTGTTTTTTGGGGGGTACTCCCTTGTACTCTGTATGTTGTCTGAGCCCCCAACCACTGATGAAGCAATGCTTCAGTCTCATGATGCAACAAGGGAAATTAACTGGACCATCTTTTGAAGCTTGCCATTAAGCAGGGTTTCTGAACCTCCGTATGGTGCCAAGTTGGATAATTCTGTGTTGCAGGGCCGGTGCTTTGTAGGATGTTCAGCAGTATCTCTGACTCCGACCCACCAGATTCCAGTAACATTGCCCCAATTATGACAACCAAAGATGTCTCTAGACATTGCCAAATGTCCTTCGGGGTGGGGCTGGGGAGTAAAATCATGCCCAGTTGGGAACACTCAGGCCTGTGATCCACGGTCTTGGAAGTCCAGAAGCACAGCTGGACTTCTGGCTGTTGAACTCGCCGGCTAACAGACTGTCCACTAAGCCGTCTAGCTCGAGGCAGCTGCTTTCTGTTAAGTTCATCGGCTTGCGCTTTGTGCAGTGGCAATATCGTAGCCAGTGCGGTTTATCCGAGGCGCGATTATTGCTAATTAAAAAAAAAAAAAGGTTCATCGGCTTGTTCATTCCCGTTAGTATTGTGCCGCAGAGTCTGTTCGGACGCAGAGCCACGTATGTACAACAGAAGAAAACACCATATCCTCTCTGGTGCCATCTTTGAAATCATTGCCATTCGAGGCCATTGGTGCCACTGTGCCAATCATCTAGACGAAGGCCTTCTCTCTTCATCTGACCCTCTACTTTACCAAGCAGGGTGTTCCTTTCCAGGGACTGGTCTCTCCTGATAACTTGTCCAAGGGACGTGAGATGAAGTCTTACCATCTTAGATCCTAAGCCTTCTGATTGACTTCTTCCAAGAAAGATTTGTTCATCCTCCTGGCAGTCACGGTATAGTTCATATTCTTCACCAATACCATACTCATCTTTCACACCCCCGCCATCCTTATGTATTGTCAGCTTCCACATGCAACTGGAAAGAACATGCATTCGACCAGGTGCATCTTATCTACAAAGTGACATCTTGGCCCAGTGCAGTAGGTTTGATTTATTTTTTTTGACTGCTGCTTCCATGGGTGTTGGTTTAAGACCCAAGTAAAATGAAATCCTTAACAACTTCATGCTTGTCTCCATTTTTCACGCTGTTGCTTAGCGATTCATCAGCGGGTATTTTTGCTTTCTTTAGGTGTATTTTTTTCACTGTGTGCTTCAAGTCCTCTTCGCTTTCAGTGTTTGCATATTGCATGTTTTAATGAACTTTCCTCCGATCGTTCTTCTTCATATAGTCCAGTTTCTTATAGAGACTGAATAAATATAGTGAAATGACATAGCTCTGAGGAACATATTTCCTCATTTTAAACCATATAGTGTTCCCTTATTTTGTTTGGATCACTGTCTCTTGGTGTACATACAGGTCAACATGAGCACAATTAAGTGTTCTGAAATTCCCATTCTTCACAATTATGATCCGCACAGCTGAATGTTTGCACAGTCAATAAAGTATAGGTAAAACATTTCCCTGTATTCTCTGGTTTCAGCCACTATCTAGCTGGCATCCACAATGACATCCAGTGGCATTCAGGGCCTTCTCTGAAGCTGGCTTGAATCTCTCACAGTTTTCTGTTAAAGTACTGCTGTAAATCTGGAGCAACCTTTTACTGGCATGTGATGTTCATGACACTGTGTGGAATGGGCACAGATATGGATCTTTTCCAAGAAGTTGGCCAAGTAGCTGCCATCCAAATTCCTTGGCACAGGTCAGAGAGTGCTCCCAATGCTACACCAGTTTTCTGAAACATTTCCATCAGTATTCCGTCAATTCCTAGAGTCACATTTGCCACCATGCTCTCAGTGCAGCCTGGAGTTCTTTCTTCAGTACTGTTGGCTCTTGATCATATGCTATCTCCCGAAATTACTGAACAATATACATATATTCATACAGTGATTCTGTGTATTTGTTCTTCAAAATTATTTTTTGATGCTTTCTGTATCATTCAATATTTTTTCCCATAAAATCCTTCAATATTGCAACTCGAGGCTTGAGGCTTTTTCTGTAGCTCTTTCTCAGCTTGAGAAACACTGAGCTTGTTCCTCTCTCTTGGTTATCAACACTAGGACTTTGGACATTCATTATAATACTGTACTACGTCTTCTCAGGTCACCTTTTAAAATCGATTCAGATTTCATACCAGCATCTCTTCTATTCACTTAGTCATTCACAGCAGTTAACTGTATGTTCAAGAGCAGGTTTCGGAGTCTCGTCTCACATTCATCTTGGTCTCTTTCTCTTCCTTCTTTCTTTTTCTCTCTCAATCTAATGACCTTTTGCTTTCTCCAAGTCTGTTGTCCCTGGTCATAAAGTTCAATGTGTCAAATCTATTCTTGAGATGGCCTTTAAACTCAGGTGACATACACTCAAGGTTGCACTTTGTCTCTCATCAACTTGTTTTAATACTTTCCAGCTTAAACCTGAACTTGCACATGATCCATTGATGACCTGCTCCAATAGGGCCTTGACTTTCTTTTGACTGATGATTGTCTCCATTGCTCCTTTCCGTAGGAGTAGTCACTATGATTCCTGTGCATTCCATTTGGTGAGGTTCATGAGCATAGTTGTCATTTATGTTGTAAAAAACAAAGGTTAAAAAAAAATTTTTTTTTAATAAAAAACAAAGGTTATTTGTAAGGAAGAAGCCATTGGTCTTGCAAAACTGTATCACGTGACATTAGGCATTGTTTCGAATACTAAGATCTTATTTTTCAACTTCCATGCTTCTAAGTTTTACATTCCAATCACCAGTGATTATCTAAGCATCTTGATGATGTTTGGTCAACTCGACTGCAGAAGTTGGTAAAGACGTCCAGTTTCTTCCTCTTTGGCATTAGAAGTGGACACGTACGTGTGAATAATAGTTGCATCAACTGGTCTTTTTTATCAGTGTATAAACAGTATCCCTTCACTGACAGAGTCATACTTTAAGACAGACAGTGAAATGTTCTTGAAAATGTGATGTGATTCCTTCTCAAGGTATCATTCTTCATGTGATAGACCATGGGATTTTAGCTGATTCAAAATAACATGTTCCAGTTCATGTCTGCTCACGGATGCCTACGGGATTTATTTGTGTGCATTCCATTCCACTTTTTGTGACTTCTAAGCGACCTAAGCTCATGCTTTGTATATTCTATGTTCTTGTTAGTGGATGCCTGCAGTCCTTTCTTTTCCTTTGGACTCAGGCCAGCAAGTAAAGGTCTTGAGAGCGTCCTTCCTTCCCTCCGTCCGCATGAGCACGGTGGACTTACTTGAGGAGGCAGCTCTTTTCCCAGGCGTTATTCAGATTGCCTTCAGACCCGACAGACGCATCCTCTGGCGCTGTCTCACACAGTGTTCTTATAACGCGCTTCACTGGCCAAGTTTTAACAAGTAGATCTCCAGTTCCTTCTTCTTAGTCTGTCTTCATCTGGAGGCTATGCTAAAGCCTCTCCATCATGAGGGACCCTGCTAGTAGTTGGAATGCTGGTGGCATGGCTTCCAGCATCATAGTCAGTGCACAAGTCATCGCGGTATGGGTGGTGGTGGTGGGATTTGTGTTGATTTGGCAATCTTATCCTCCATCACCAGGCAAACAATTCACCAACATTCTTTGCTTCCTTTGGTTTTGAAGTCATTAAAAACAGCCAGTAATCCTCATTGGGAAATGGTGATAGGGTTCGTATAGACTTGACTGGACCAGGATTCTCAGTAGTTGGGCAGTGGAGGCCTCTCCTGATAATGTAACTTACCACAATGGAAACAACTCCATGACGGGATGTACTCTGGGTGGCAAAGCAGTTATAAGATTAGGGAGGGGTGCAGCCTCCCTGGTCAGGGAGGAAAGGAATTGTCTTTGGGGGCGTGGTCTACTCCTATTTAAACAGACTCTGGGGGAAGAGACCCCATCTCTCCTTTCTGGCGTGGATCCTGCATCTGTGTAACCAACCTTCAGTTCTTTAGGTTTGAGCCAGTGACGTGCCATACTTCCTGCCGACAGGGTTCATTTGACTCCACGAGCCTGACTTGCTGACACAGGGTTTATTTGCCTCTGCCTCCAACGGCTGCGGTGCTCCTTTAGCTTCCTGGTTTGTCGTCAGCTTGGCAGCCACACGAGTCAGGGAAGCCTCTAGCTTAACACTGGACCCACGCACTTGAATGGGACTGGACTTACCCCTTTCAACTACGAATTTCTTCCTTTCAATATATGTTAAGTGTCACTGGTTTTGACTCTGCAGAGAACCCAGCCTAACACACATATCAAATATGATTTCCCACTCAGTAAAACATTTACTGCACACCCAAACGGGAAATTTGAGGAAGCACTCCATTTCTGAACAGAGAAAATGTCATCTAATGTCACACCTTACTCATCCCTGAACTGCTCTGTATAAAGCAGCACTGATGGAGTGGTGCATCCAGTCAACATCAAACACTGAAAGAAGCTAGCGATTGCCTAAGTCCTTGAAAGCAAATGTAGATTGCTTTTTTCTTAAACATTCATTCTTTCTTCTTTATAACTATATAAATCAAGCGAATTTCTGCTTTAGGATCTGAATATTTCAAAGGCTGCGGCTCTCCTCATCTAAGTGACAGGCTTGAGAAACAGCATCTACTAAACTCTGGAAAACAGCACTGGCTTGTGCAGTGAGCAAACAACAATGAGGGCACTAATTTGAAGAAAATGGGGGCTTCTTGTAGAGAGAACCCCCCTGCCCCATTATGCTCCCATTTTTGGGTGGGGGTATAATATCTCTAGAACTTGTCTATACAGGTGTGCCTGGCTTTAAGAAATCACATTTGGGAAACGTGAACAAATGCACTCCGCCTACCAGGTGCTGCTGGGTAAAGAGTGGGTTGCGAAACACAAAGCTAGCGGTTCAAGTCCACCAGCTGCTCTGTGGGAGAAACATGAGGGCTGACAGCCTTGGAAATCCAGCTCCATGGCAGTGGGTTTTGGGCTTTGGGGCAGAAAGGATGTTTTTCAAACTAACGGGGACAGGGAGGAGTCCAAACTCAGATCCTTCAATAGGCACAGGGCGCCTTAGGCCACGGCCCAAGCACTAGCACATAGGCCAGTACAGATCCGACAGGGACTCCCTTTACTGGTGAGCATGAACAGTCTGTGAATTAGTTTGACTAAGCGGTACTTCCCCAGGACTTGAAAAGGACTAGGCTAGGTGATTGCACAAACAACCTTTCAGCCTCGTGACATGATTCATTTGCTTATTAAGTCTTTTTATTTTCCCAGGAAGTACAAAGACAAACTTGGGTTAAATCTTTGTAACAACTTTCTCTCCTCTCAAAGGAGTGGCATGTGAATTAGGAACATCAACCAGACAGGTAAAATTATAGGGAGCAGTTTCAACCACTATTGAAAAAGTGGCCCTCCTCTGTGGACACCCCCAGTGCATTGAAGCGCACGTTTACCAGGCACGACTTGTGTGACCCACAGCCCCGAGGAGATCAGAAACCCCAAGAAGTGTTGGCCGGTGAGTTCCGGAAGTCAAAGGGGCTGAGGAACTCATGTCACACGTGCCTTGCGGGCAGGGGCTCACTTTGCATCCCCGGGCCAGCATCATTGCGCTCGACACAGAACGCATGCGCCATGAATCACTGCTGGCTGGCTGAGTAAGTAAACGGATGGCAGAAGCTAACGGGAATATGGAGGTCCCTCGGATGAACGTGGGTCATTTAAGCAGAGCCCTTTCTAAAAGGCGTGGTCTCTTAAAGGAAGGCACAGCTGCAGAGGCCGGACTAGTCCCCAGCGCCCCGGGGAGGGGGAGAACTTACGGCCCCGCAGTTGGGCATCTCACAGACGAAGGAGCCCGAGGGCTGGCTGAGGGCCTGCAGAGGCGGCCCCTCCGTGGGAGCCAGGGCAGGAACCGGTGGAGGTGGCTCTGGGGACTTAGACACTTCACTCTCTTCTTCTTTCATGGATTTCCTGTCTTCTTCCAGGCCCTCCTCCTCCTCCTCTAGCTCTTCTTCCTCCTCCTCTTCGCTCGTCTGGTGTGAAGGCCATAAAACAGAAAAGAGAAGTCCCCAAAGGCCAACTTAGTGAAGGACAGAACTCACGGTGGTGAATGACTTGGTTTCTGCAGAAGGAAGGGCTGGAGATAAGTCAGGTCTCTAAAAGCTTGATCTCGGTGTGCCTGGAATCTTTGGGTCAAGAAAGCCCCTTCCTTCACTTTACGCCCCCTTATCCCTCACCTGAAAACATGCTATGGGCAGGGAAGAGAGATGTCTGTCTCTACGAGGGGGCTTCAAGAAGTCCGTCTGAAACCTATGTGAACTTTAATGCCCCCTCACGGAGTATCTCATGCAGAAGCCCGCCAGACCTGGACAGCCAGTGCTATGGATTGAATTTCACCCCCCAACCCCAACAATGTGTTGGAGTCCTGACCTCTATCACCACGGCGGAGGAGCCCTGGTGGCATAGCGGTTGTGTCGGGTTGCTAACTGTAAGGTCGGGAGTTCAAAACCACCAGCTTCTCCGCTCCTCGGGAGAAAGACAGGGCTTTCTACTCCCGTAATCAATGGCAGTCTGGAAAACGCACAGGGACCGCTGCCCTACAGGGTAGGATGGTGATGAGTCGGCATCGACTAGGTGGTGATGAGCTAGGTTTCAGTTAGGTTATAATTGTGGACACGATCCTGTCTGGAAATAGAGTCCTAGGTTATATGAATCTCTTTTGAGCACCTTACAGTTTACAAAGCATGTGCACGCTAATGACATGGGCTGGCTGGAAGCGCAGCTCCCATTGAAGACATGAGGAAGCAAGAACTATGTTTAACTGCCTCTGACGGACAGGCCATTTGTCTGCGCCAGACCCTCGACACACTCACTGCTTCAAAGCATGTGGGCTCCCGTTTGCTGGACTGCTGACCTTTGACTGATGGAACTCTGGGAGAGCCCCGAGTTTTAGACACAGGAGGGAGGATTTTGAAGGAGAAGAAAAATGTCTGAGAATGGCAACACCCTAGGCTGCAGACACCATATCTTCCTCTCCTGAGTGTGAGTTGGGAGGGCGAGGGAGGAGAAAAAAACAGTCAATGTGGTACATTTAGAAACCCCCCCCACTTTCTCAGGAGTTTTGGCCCTTAATACCCTGTGGATGCAAAATTACGAGGAGCCCTGGTGGTGTTGCAGTTACACATTAGGCTGTGATCCGCAAGGTCCGAAGTTCAAAACCACCCATCACTCCACTAGGAAACAACGGGGCTTTCTACACCCGTAAAGAGTTGCCATCTCGGAAACTCACAGGAGCAGTTCTGCCCTGTCGTGTAGGGTCGCCGTGAGTCGGCATCGACTTGGCAGCAGTGAGTTTTGGTTTCGGCATATGCAGAGTGGAGATGATGCATTATTAACAAACAAATAAACAAACAAACAAAACCACTGCCATTGAATCGATTTGGACTCATACGTATGACAGAAATCACTAGCTGTCAGTTTGTCATACCATGATGGACTGCATGGTGCTGCTACTAGAAGCGATACCATTTCAAATAGCAGCCAGGTCGCCCTGGGGCACAGGTCTCAGTGAAGCATTCAGATGTCGACAGACTAGGAAGAGAGGCCTGGTGACTGTCTTCAGACAACTGATCACCGAAAACCCTATGACTCCCCATAGACTAGGTCTGATCGAGTGCTGCAGGACCAATGCCCATGCTGGGAGGCCTTTAAACACACAGAAGCTGCCAACATGGGGTGCAAGCATTCCAACCACAGTGGGGCCGCAGCAGGGCCGGGCGCTGCGTGTGGGGCGTGCCCTGAGTTGGAGCCAATGGGATGGCCACGGACAACGAATCCAGGTTCTGGTTTCCAGGGGATTCGGGAGGATTCGTTTGTCGTGGCTGCATTTGCTGACAGACTGCAGTGGATACAGAGGTAGGCCTGATGCCCACGTGTTCGAGTGGTGTCGGACCTACACAGCAAGCCTCTTAGTAGCAGAGAACATAAAGGCCGATCCCACTTCGATGCTCTTATCCCTGTAAGAATTTTACCCATCTTTATGGCCCTTTAAGTTTCAGGTCATAGCACAGGATGCTACACTCCAAGGGTTCACCCAGTTCCTTACAGAACGGGAACTATGTGGTCTCAGAGACCAGGTGGGTAAGCAGACCATGACCTATACCTTGGCATTTACAATCAAGGACATGATATGCTTGTGATGACAATGGCATCTACTTTATGGCACTTGCCAGACACACCATTCCACATAATGCCATTTCTTGTTTTAAAAGCTCTTAGAAGAAACATTCTACATGGTCACAAAATGACAGATTACATGACAGTCCTCTATAGTTCTGTATGGAGGCCTGGTGGCGTTGGGCTAAACCACAAGGTCAGCGGTTGGAACCTGACAACTGCTCTATGGAGAGAGATGAGGCTTTCTGCTCCTGCAAAGACTTAGAGCATCAGAAACCCACAGGGACAGTTCCAGGGTCGCTTGACTCCTATTTGACTCGATGGCTGTGAGTGATGGTTATGTCTGTCTCGAGAATTTTGATAGGGTTTATTTCAACTGGCAATCCATAAATGCTCACAACATAATTGGTCGCCAAGCCACATGGCGACTAAGAGAAATAAGGATCGGAGGACGAAAGTCCTGCCATGGAGAACTCCATATCATCAAGCTGGCCAATTTATACTGTATTTGTGAAAGGAAGCCTTTTAGTAATATTCCAACATTGGCAAAATGTGGACAGAGGGCAGAGAAGTGGCCAGAGTTTAACAAGCTGTTCAAAACCTTGAGCATCCTCGATAAAGTTGTCTTCAAGTGAATACATTTCTATTTTTCAGGCATAAAATGGAAATTCTTTCTACCATGAGAAATTAAGAACTTATAATACAAATGCTCATCAACTCAAGTATACCCAAATACACAAATTCTTGTGGGTCATAATCATTGATAATGAAGATAAGGATGACGTATTGAATACCTGCTATGGCTAAGACACTACACATCCGTACACACAACACAAACCCAAAACACCACACTCTTCCTAGTTCTCTCATCCATCTTGTAGAATCTTCTTCATTTTTTTAAACAGCTGAGGAAATTGGACAGAGAAGTAATTTTTTCTTTTTCTTTTTTTTTTTGTGGTCTTGCCAAAGAATATTTATTTTTTATTTTATTCTTTTTTGTTTTTTTATATATATTTTTAATCATTTTATTAGGGGCTCATACAACTCTTATCACAATCCATACATACATCAATTGTGTAAAGCGCATTTGTACATTCATTGCCCTCATCATTCTCAAAAAATTTCCTCTCCACTTAAGCCCCCGGCATTAGGTCCTCATTTTTCCGCTCCCTCCCCGCTCCCCCCTCCCTCATGAGCCTTTGATAATTTATAAATTGTTATTTTGTCATATCTTGCCCTGTCCGATGTCTCCCTTCACCCACTTTTCGGTTGTCTGTCCCCCAGGGAGGAGGTCATATATAGTTCCTTGTAATGGGTTCCCTCTTTCCTACCCCCTCTCCCTCTACCCTCCCAGTATCGCCACTCACACCACTGGTCCTGTAGGGATCATCCGCCCTGGATTCCCTGTATTTCCAGTTCCTATCTGTACCAGTGTACATCCTCTGGTCTAGCCAGACTTGCAAGGTCAAATTTGAGTCATGATAGTGGGAGCGGGGAGGAAACATTTAGGAACTAGAGGAAAGTTGTATTTTTCATTGTTGCTACATCGCCCCCTGACTGGCTCATCTCCTCCCCGAGACCCCTCTGCAAGGGGATCTCCAGTGGCCTACTAATGGGCTTTGGGTCTCCACTCCGCACTCCCCCCATAATTCACTATGGTAAGATTTTTTGTTCTGATGATGCCTTGTACCTGATCCCTTCGACACCTCATGATTGCATAGGCTGGGGTGCTTCTTCCATGTGGGCTTTGTTGCTTCTGAGCTGGATGGCCGCTTAATTACCTTCAAGCCTTTAAGACCCCAGACGCTATACGTTTTGATAGCCGGGCACCATCAGCTTTCTTTGCCACATTTGCTTATGCACTCATTTGTCTTCAGTGATCCGTTCGACACCCCGTGATCACACAGGCTGATATGTTCTTCCATGTGGGCTCTGTTGCTTAGAAGTAATTTTTTCCCAGGGTCCCACAGTTGATCAAGAAACCAAATGGAGATTCAAATCCTGGTCTATCTCACTCCAAAACTTTGACTTTTTCAATTCCTTGGCCTTACTGCCAATGCCCATAGGTATAAATTTGTCCCTCTCTACATGGCTTAGGGGACAGCTCAAACAGAGACCTTAAACCTCTTAAAAGCACTGGAACCCACTGCCTGTACATGTCAGAGAGGAGGATATATATTCCCCTTGCCAAGACACCATGCTGTTAGTAAGCTGATACTTTACCTCTGTTCCTGGGGCCTTGACCATCGTCTTCCAACCAAAGGTGATTGACCTGGTTGCCTCAGTTGTTTGGGTTGTTGAGGCTAAAGATAGCATGAGGCTCACCAGTTCAACCATTTCTTCACGTACATTTCAGTGATGTTGGGCACATTCTTCGAGCTGCAGGACCATTCTTAGCCCCCTTCCACAAATTGTGCCCCCTCAACACACTCACTGCCCCTAAGGTTCCTCTTTACTCTCTCAAGTTGCTGTTGCACATTTGATTCCCTACAGAGACCTCTTTAAAAAGCACAATGCTCATCCAAGGCAGGCAGCCTTTACTGTTATTGTTTAACGGTTAAAGATTATCCAGGGCAATGGTTCGGAGGACCAATTCAGCTCCAGTGGTTCTGGAAAGTCTGAATTCCATAAGAGTGTGACATTCTGGTCTGCATTCCCCTACTTTTGATGAGGATTCTTCTATGGAGTTTTTGATCAAAATGTTAGTAGTGCTAGCTGGGCACCATCCAGTTCTTTATTCTCTGGGCAAAGGAGGCAATTAGCTACACATTTCATTCCCTCTTCTTTCCTCTGTTGTTCCACTCATTGGTTTCCTTCTGATTTTGAACATTTTATTGAGGCTGAGGAAAGTTTACAG